AACACAGAGGTAAATTGAAAGAAAAGGAAATCCTTATTATTTTTGTAGAGCAACTTCTTTAAACTGAAAATCCGGCTAAACCAAAAGACATCCAGCAGAATTGGGTTAAAGCAAACTCCACTATGTTATGGTGTATATATTTATATGGGGGTAAGAGAGTATTTTTTCTTCCCAGCATTTGCCACAACTGTTTAGTGTGGAGTGGCTTGCTTAAAAGGTTAAATATTTAGGAGGTCCAATACACCCAGTTTCAAGTTTTTCAGGCTTAATTAACGATAGTCTTACATAATTGTATCTTCATTTATGTGTTCACACGTGGGTCGTCCTACCAGCACAAGTATGATCTATGATGTTTGATCAGATGGTCAAGTCTGTACTAGTATTAGTAGTACGTAAGATTTGGTTGCTGCTGTGTGCCATCATGTTCAGTAGGATAAAGATTGTAATAAACATATTTTTTTTACTTTAAAAGTTCTTCATTTATTTATATCTGTTTTGTCATTTCCTTTTTTTTCCCCCGATTGTTGTATGAAAAGATTAGTACAGTCTCGCGTACACATGGCAAAATCAGAGGGGCTCAGAAATCGTTCCAGTGTGTACGAATTTCACTGTGATGTTTTCCACAAACCTGTCTTCAGATTGAGCATATATATATATGTATTTATAAGCTCACTGTTATTACACGGTATACGTGTAAAGACCGCACAGAGGGAGAGCTGGCAGTAAATACTCGGTATACCGTAGAACGGCCTCCTTGTAATGTTGTAAAGACTGCACGGAGAGAGAGGGGGCTGGCAATACAATTTTATTGTTTAGCTGACCAGAGTTGGTTGCTACTATCCGGTGCATGGCGTACTGTTAAACTGTATGTAGTAGATCTAAATAAACAATAATTATACTTTTTGCACGTGAGCGAATCGAGGTCCACATTATTTTTTTTTTTATGTATCATGTTTAATTTTAATGTTTACATAGTGGCATAATCTGTCAATTCACTGGATTTGTATCCCTTCCATGTTTCCAACACTTGCTCCCTGGCTGGCTTAAACTCAATCACTAATACTGTAGTAACACTTGTTAAACAGTAAGTGTAAAAAATAAATGGATTATTGCATTGTTTACATCTTTGAAGGTTCATGCTTTCACTGCCTTTAAATATTGTGGCACACTTGTCTGGTCACACCATGAGGCCTAGCAGTAGCAGTAGTGGTACGAAGTCAGCCAAAGTTCACTTTAACGTTTCATTTCCTTTTGTTAATTAATTCTCAATGTCTCCTAAGAAACCACATCTTTTTGTCTTTCGATTATTTTAACTACAGTGGAGTCCACTTATAACGAGTCCTGAAACAACGAGAAGTCTGTTATAAAGATACTATTCAAAAACCCCGTTTTTTCTCTTTCTTTATCTTTGTAAATAAAATACTGCTATTGCGCAATCAGACCGTCACGCGAATCGGTTATAACGGAATATTGCCGCTGCTGTGCACAGCGCACAGACCAATTAAACATATTATAAAACCTTGCCAGTTGAGAAAGTTGTTGGTGATCCAGCGAAACAAAGAATGGGAGAGCCCATGCGAACCAACAATGAAGGCCGGAGCGAATGAGTGAGAAGGGTGTGGCAGAACGCATCGCGTGATAGGCCAGCCCAGTCTAGATATCTAGGCATACCGTGCCTCTCACTTCTCTGGTGCGGGATGGAGAGGTCACAATGCTGTGATAGACGGATGGAGTGAATGTGTGACGTACGCGAGCAGACGCAACGCACCACAGGGTGTGGTGGGGTGGGGGACAACACAGCAGGCGAGTAAGCCTTGAGCCAGAGCCCCTTCTTTCTGATTGCCAAGGCCGATTTGTCAACATTGCTAGTGTTAGAGAAAGAAACCTGATTCGATTTTTTTATCAAGTAAGACTTAGAGAGATCATGTTTAACAAATCATCATCAGGGGAAACACAAAAAGGAATAAACAGAACGTCAAACTCATAGATTATTAGGCCTACTTAACTATCTCCCTTGAATTTATTACTGGATCCCTTGTAACGAGAATCCTGCTATAACGGACATTTCGCACCGGTCCCCTCTCTCTCATTATAACAGGATTCCACTGTATTTTATAACAAGATTATACTGATTATTATTATTGAGTGATATTCTAAATAACGCAACAACAAAAATTCTTACCGTAGCGCTGGACCGGCTGAGTGTTGCCTCAGTCACTAGGTAGGCCTGACTCAAAATGGTAAAGCTCCATTTTTTTTCCTATATAAATGTCTGGTCTATTATGGGGTCACGATGTACAATGGGGGGGGGGGGGGGTAGTAAGTATAATAAATATATTTTGATGCCATAACCTGAACACAAAGCCACCGAGTTAACTCTCAAAGCTACCAGGTTGTAGGGTGGTTAGGGACAAACCACAAGATGGTCAATGGATGGTTGTCTTTCCGAGGGCCTAGTTGTGAAGGGCACCGATTCAGATCTAGATCTACAAGTAGATCTCTGTGTCTGATTGGGCAATTTCAAAAGGTAGACTAGGCCTCTACTATGCTGCAATTGGCACCTTCAACAGTTTACGTTTTATTTTAGTAATTTCCTCCACCAAACATTGTACGGTCAGTTATCATAAGCCAAATTGGTATCCTAAAACTTTTCGTGTAATATTAATATTACCTACACCCGTACGTTAAAGTTAAATCAATGCAGAGAAGCTCTTGTCAGATAACAATTTAAATGGAAAGATAAAATTTATATTTCAGGTTGGTTTTAAAAAGAGAACATTTTTATTCTAGCTGCTTTTAATTTATGCCTCATCGACACAATTTAAATCCTTAGAATATGGGCTTCCGACCTTACCTGACATCGCCAACCCATGCTGAAAGGGATAGGTACAACATCCCAGAAGAAAGACCGAGAAACAATGCAATAAAAATTTCTCCTCAATTGGGAATCAAACTGGGGTCTTCTGTGTGCAACAGCAAAGCACATCTAACCGCTACACCAGACTCCATTCAGATTTTTAAAAATCCATTGACTTTGTCAAGTCTTGTTAGTGACCATAATCCGTGCCCTGTCCATAGCAGTCGCCTGGCTACAACATTTTTCTTAGTGTGATCTTGAGTGAATGTTTTGGGCAGGATTCACTGTATCAACTTATAATTTAGACTTAGTGAGTTCACCATACAACTTTACAAATACTCAGTTCTTTGATCAATGGCTGGTGAAAAACAAGTAGGCCAATTGATACCAGTATGTTTTTCTCTGCTCTGTGACAAATGTTCACACTTACTGCTCTTTCAGTCTTTGTTGGTACAACTCACTGTCTACAGTGTGAGACTGCCAATGTGCTCGGAAAGGGACATGATTAATAATAATACAGAAGGTCTTTAAAAATACAAATACACAATGTATGACAGGACTGACTGAAGTTGTACCACCTCTTGTTCTTATCTAATTGTAAATGCTTTTAAGTTCCTGTCAACACTTTTAAATCCTTTTGGAGACTGGTCACTTGAACCTTATGTCAAAGCCAGCCCGGGCTAGGTTTCATACGACTACAGCATTCTAGCACTAGCAGATGGAGATACACTAACCCGAATTTGTCGGGGATTGGAAATAGTGTTCAAGATTTCCGTAATTCGTCATGTCAGTTGTCCGTGACAGCCCCAAATACAAAGAAATAGAAAATCAAGGGGGGTACAATAAAACCCATTAGAACAATTAATGTGGTTAGCTCCCTTGATCAACATGTTGACGGTGTGAAAGCAAGAAGATGAATGAATAAGTGGAAAGCAGAAAATCTCATTTGTGCAAAGCCGACTCTTACGTCATTCCTTTCCTCTCATTTCATTGGCTTACAGAAAGTTACACCTCCTGCCATCAGCACAGTGTGCTTTCCACAGCATGATTGCATGAGTAGCGAGCCAGTTATGCCGCACGGTCAGCATCACTCCCCAACCCCCCTTCCTCCAGCCTCTCGTGGTGAGACAAGCATCACATTTTGGCTGTAACAACAATAACAAAGAAACGCCTATCTGCAGCCAGAAAGTGAAAGGCTGTAAAACCGGGTCTTTAGTTGAGAATGCAAAGTGCATTTGTTCACGATTCCAGTGTTGCGTGTTCCGAAGAAAACATAGGGACTGAAACTGGACCGAGCTTTATGTTCGAGATACCCCAGAATTCATGATTATCATGTTCGAGATTTGTGAACTCTACTGTGTAATGAACTGAAGAACAGTCTAATCCGATGTAACAATTAGTAAATTTTATTTCACATTACTATTTTTGGCATAAAAAAAACACAAATTGACCAACACAGGCACAGACAATCGCGGTCAGAGCCTGCCAGACAACAAGAGTCAAATATTTTGATTTTAATACAACACAGCTCGTTGATATAAAACCAGTACATGCATCAATGACAACATCATACAAACATCCACCAATATGGTGTAATGCATCGTGGTAGACCATATCAGACACATTAAAATAATAGTTTAACTTAATCCTATCTGTCTAACTAGCCCTTTTCTTACTATGGTAAGTTGGAACATAAAATCATAACCAGTAACAGGTTAAGACATTTTAGTCAAGAGAGAGTCAAAGAAATGTTTACATTATTCAGTCAAAATTCAGTCATACGGTATATAATAGTAAAAATATAGAAGTCATCGTTGGCATAACATCTAAGTATAATCATAATCACGATCTTTACTAAAAAAGTGACTCCCAAGATAATAAGAGTTCCAGTCCTAACTATACATTGTACTATAAGTGAGTCAGCAAGTCGAATAAGTCTACGCAGTTGGAATAGACCTAGGCCTACTTACTGTTCACATTGGTACTCTTTAAACTTTTAATATTAGTAATTACATGTAGTAGGTTTATAAGAGGTCTGACCAAGAAAAAAGTATTTTTTGCTTACACCACATGCAAAATTTTGTGCAGTTTAATATTTTTGTTCAAAGTTATTTACATAGGTGCAGTTGACATTGTGTTGCACTGTTGCCTCCATCTAGATCAACGAAGGGCACTCCACCCTCTCAAAGCAAATGCAGGCTTTTGTCACATGCTGTGTGTATTGCTGTCTACAGGCAGGCTCACCATGATCCTTACAGTCGAGAATCCGAGAGCCTAACCGCCACACCACTGATGCCACACATTGTCTGGAATGCATAATTTCGTGGCAATAACTGTCAGTGAAAGTAGACCTTTGATTGGTCAATCAAAATTAGTGCACTTACAGGTCATAATTTTTGACACAAACATGAAAGGTAGAACTGGTTGTGGCAAAAATCTCAGATTCAGAGTAGTTAGACTGGAACATGTTCCATATGGTACTTCCACTTCTACTCAAAAAAAAAAAAAAGAACCCTAAAACAAAGTTTAAAAAATCAAAGGTAGGCTTACACTTTGAAAAGAAGGCAGAATAAGATTTGTAACTTACTACACACTACACTCTTGCATGGAGGTACCGGTACAGGTAAGATTAGCCACACTCATGCATGGGAGTACCGCTAGGTAGGCCTACCAGGTATGAAAGAACCACCAAAAGTAACATCAATCATTTTCACCATATTGAACAGCTTCACCTAGAAGTAACCTAACAAGCCCTCCATCATAGCGAATGGAATACCAGTGGATACAACAGTATTTACTTTACAATGTGATCAAAATACATTAGAAATCTTTTCAGATTCAACAGCCAACACACATACACAAAGATGACCCGAAACACAAAAGTGTTAGCCCCAAAACGAACCACTACAGATGCACTTCTGATGAGGTTCACAAAATGCCGCAGCAATTCAATACATGTATTACAGATCATTGCACTTGAGCAGTACCGGTAGCTCAAATTTTCACTACAACATCATGACATGCTTCAAAGCAGTCAGTTCTTCACATGAATCAAAGGCCTATTTTACAGGCCTTCGAAACCATGGAGGTGCCTGCTCATAAATATAACACAATACACTTCGGTACACATTTCTCTCTATATAAATATGATGCCTTCATTTTTCATGAAGTCACTTCTCCTTCTTCACAACATACTCGGCTGTAGACATGGTGAGAAGATGAAACTCCAAAATTACACTTTAATTAAGGAGTCCTAATTTCAGAGTAGACAGTTCATACTTTCATAAATTTTCCAAAGGGTATTCAAATATTTCTCTCTTAACATTGTCGTAATTTGTGTACCAAATTGCATGTGAAAGCTCAAATTGTACAGGTACAAGTATCTGCCATTTAACATTTTTTAAAGAGCAAAGCACAACTGCTTACATGAACCATGTGTTGTATATAGAAGCGAGACGGCAAGGTCAATCCATTCAAATTAGGAGTCCAAACTTGCCAATAATACTGAGCAACTAGACACAAAACTCATGAAAGCACATAATGAAGATTTGAGTTAATTCATTTTACATGACACAAAAACATGCACGCTTGAAATTATTAATGTTTTGGTCAAAAATAACAATTAATTAAAATTAAAATACAAGAGCGTGACCTTCATTTCAAAACACATGAGCTGAGCAACAATAACGCCTAAAATATAAACACAAAAAATTGGTGAACTTCACAAAAAAAGTCAGAGGGCAATGCTTCACAAAATTGTCCACTCAATGTCAGGTCAGTGCACATCCAGTCAGTCCAAAGCATTCACATCATTCGTACACAGAGAAAGTCAATAAATAACAGACTAAGTAATTCTAAGAGCATCAACTTGCCAAGGTGTAAAAACCAACATCACATTCCCTTGATACCGGTATTTATTTTCAACTCAGATCTGTCTGTGGATACCAGTATCTATTTTCGTCTCAAAGCTCTGTCAAATTTCTCATCCTCATCATCGCTGTGGTACCCGTTTCCACGGTCACGGTAACCCCGAGTGGCCTGCATGAGCTCTGCGTCGGGTCCTTTCCCACGGTGTTCGTACAGCAGAGTGTTCAAAGTTTCTTCAAAGATGCGCGCCTCAGGAAAGTCAACCTGGGACAAACATAGCACAGAATTTTTTTTAAAACGGAAGTGAAAGAAAGTTTTCCTCAGTGAAAGCTGAAAAGGACAAACACCGTAATTCGTATCACATCACACCTGTCTATGTTCACATCAAAGCAATAAGTCTGAAACATATTGTGATTTGAATTTAGTCAAAGACAGTGACGTTCTCAGACGGTCTAGCTGAAAGACTAGCCAAGGGGCCAGGTCAATTTGCCTGCGCTTGAACAAAGTCCAAACTAAATGACCACTCAGTAGCTTACACTCAGTTTCAATTATCACTCGTGTCTGCAGTCTGACAAAATTAATCCAATTTGAGGAAAGACAAAAAGTCCCAAGCCAAAGAGATTATTTTTACGAGACTGATAGACCTTTGTATCTTTTGATTTAGTCCTAGCAAACATTTACACAATAATCTGATGTGAAGGTGGAAGACAACGCAAGCTATTACTAACCCATCAAAGCCAACACAAAGCATCACAAAATCAGCTGTTTGGTTTCTTGAAATACAAAATAGTGTCATAAAAAGTAAGTGTATGGGTTTAACGCCGTTATCAACAATATTTACAAATAGTAATTAAAGAGACGGGACCTCTGAATTGAACATCCATATCCGATAGAACCAATCCAAATGGTTTGAAAGTAATGAAAGCCTTGAAAACTCCACAAAACAACCTGAATTCAAGAATGCCCAGTCTGGCATTCGAACAAGGGCCATACACTCCACAGGTCAGCATAATACCAACTGAGCTAACTGAGCACCCATTTTTTTCAAATTTGCAAAGTGTACAGGAAAAAGAAAAACACAATAGTGACTTCATTGCTGTATTGAACCTACAACCTTTTTTTTTTCATTTACCAAAAGATACACGTGTCATGAATATTCAACCAAATACTGTACTCCCAAAAAAAAAAAAATGGGGTAAATGTGTTTAATGATTTAATGCCCACATCGACAAAATTTAGATAATTTACGAGGCAGGCTTTGACCCTGCCTGTCAGGCCCAACCCACATTGAGAACGATACAACATCCTAGCAGAAAGACCAAGATGTCGACTCTCTTATGTGCAATAGAGATGTACCTAATTGCTATACTATACAACAGATGCAGATTTTCTATACTGCCTGTGTACACAATGGACATCTTTACTGACCTTAGTGTGTTTCTTGTCAGTGCCATACACAATAGAGGTGCAGCACACTTCCCCAATCTTCTGACCATGCCCGTAAAAAGACCAGCAGCAGATCTCAGTGTTGCCCAGTGTGTCCTTCACAAACAGGATCCTGGTGCTGAACCGCAGACACAGCTTGTCAAACAGCTCCAGGTTCTTCAGGAAGTTATCATCAGACATACTGCAAGTGAACCACAGTAGTATGGGAACATTGCAGTTTTAAATAAAATTATATAATCCTATATATATGATTTCTTCTTTCTCAATAGTTGTTTTTTAAAATTTACTCAGGTTACAGCTTTTTCCTCCTTTTTATTTATAAGAGATGTCAACATCCATAATGATGTGAAAGATAATTGAGAGTCAAAGGTTCAAATTAAATACAACAGGGTGAGTTTCACTGCCTCTCTATTGCATTACATCTCAGCTCTTATAAAAAAGGACTAGACTTCCTCTCCATTCTTCAATACAACAGGCTTATAATTAAAATCGCTACAGAAAATTACAGACACTTTTGGCGTATATTATCATCTGCTTAGCATCAGATTACCAGAAGTGAGAAGTGGTGTGGAGCAAAATCACTCAGAACATAAATCTATATCATAGCTTGACAAGAACCTCATTAGCAAGGTCAACACCATCTCACTGTTCTGTGATAGGCATGGTCCTGCTGGGTGGTTGGAGGACACCACTGGTAGGTCCTACATGCTGATATATATATGCATTCAATCTCAATCTTGGTCTCAGCATACAAGACTTAGGGAGGATAATTGGCAGGTGCTCTGGTGTGGCTTGCTCATTCTTTCCTACCCAACATCTATCATCCTTATCTTTCCTCCCTTTTTCTTTTGTATTACTCTTTAGTAACACCTCAAATCTTCGACAGATACGTCATGGGATCAGTTTCTGTTTCAAGTGCCATAAAACTCTTCATAAAACTAAAAATGAAAAACTAAACAAGACTTTGATAAGCCACTTTGGCCTTATGAAGGTTGGCCATTAAGGAGTTTCAACTACATCCACCAGTCAGAAAGAAAGTTGTGTCTTGTGTCCTGGACACCTTTCCTCACCAGCACGTAGGTCCATTGGAAGAGCTCACAGCATTGTGATAGTTCACACATGGGCACATAGGTCATTCCCTAGAAGTGCTTACAGTATTGTGATAAACTGATATAAAAATATGCCTATGTCCAGCTATATGGTTACTATGGTAACCACTTTAAAACATTTCCATGTTGTTCTGTTTCTGCCCATGATACTTACATATCCTGGACATAGAAATTATGCATTTCTTTTTTTTTTTTATTAACAAGTTTTGGGGAAATAAACCCAAAGATCAAAAAGCCAAACTAAAAATTCAGTTAACTTGAACACCCAACAGAAATAATATAAAACTGCACCAACCTTGTGTAGGAATATTTGTTGTTGTGCCTGTTACAGTTCAATTTGACCATCGGCTGAAAAAAACAAAAAAACAGAGCAGGTTGGTCAAACAAGGCCTGAAACATTGCAATGTATTGACAATTGAAGGAATACAGTTATGTCACGACATGGTGGAATCAGGCGCTCATCAATTTTTGGGCATGTGGGGCTATTGTAATGTTATCATCTGAAAACTTATTCATTTGCCTTGCTGTCAATGAAAAAAGTATCTATCTATCTTGAATAAGTGTCAAGATGCTTGCCATAGAAGAAGGTGGGGTCAAAGATACTCCACTACCAAGATATTGCACTTGTTCTTTGGGCTTTTGTCCGTGTCGTGGCGGGCCCCTCTTTGCCACATAGTCACATAGTGCGTGATGGGCTACGTCACTAGGCGACGCGACGCTGGTTTCGTCGCCAACTGCTTGGAGTGTGTGTGTGTGTATGTGTGCGTATATTATATATATATATATATATATATATTATAAAATGAGTATATATATATATGTGTGTGTGTGTCTGTGCGTGTGTGTGTGTGACCACGAGAATTGCTGAGATAGTCTAAAGATAACACAAATTAACAAAAGGAAAAATGGGGGAGGTGCTGTGAATGAGAAGGAAGAAAAGAAAACTGAAAATCAACAAACAAAAACAAAGAAAATTATTTAAAGACTTCAAGTGGCAAGGTAATTACTTACTTGAATGCTACAGGTGTTGAACGTTCATCAGTTCGAAAACAAACATCATATGACTATGATCGACCGATCGACCAGGGTTATAAGACTAAGACATCGAATTGGATAACAATCAGGTGATAGAGAGATGGGGGAAGACGAGGAAGAAAGAACAAGTATTTGGTAGGCCATGTCAGGCCAAAATACCACAATAAATTGCAAACGGAGATGATAGCAATAATTATTCATCCTGTAAACAAGATTTATTAGCATTAAAATCGACAACACGAGAGAAAAATCTTTGAAATGCAGCGAAAATGTTCACGTTCTGTCTATCTGTATGCAGTGTAAACAATGGCATGCGAAGGGAACTCCCCGTCGTTGCTACCGGCTCGGTGAATTAAATTTACGGTCCGGTCACGTGACGGAAGAGGCCAACCGGTATTTGGTACTGGGTCTTTAAACATACCTAAACAGGTCTCCGGAGTTGTTCCGTAAGAAAACTAAAGTGCAATAATCGAATAGTTCTTATCATGGCCTTTCCAACAATACCAAACTTGATTACCTTGTAGCCACAGAGAGCGTTGTTGTCATGGGGTCAAGTTTAGCCTTTCCCAACATTTTGTTTGAATTTTTTTGCCCCCTCTACTGCTTTCAAATACATTTTTATGTATGTTAGAGGTCTCTTTAGGCCTTGGGACCTTCACAAAACGGATGTCCAAATATTCAAATTTCCACATTTTTTCGCAAATACCCAATTTTCTAGGGGATCGAGAACCGCGGATTCATAAATTTTCAACAATCTGACAGACCCAAAAAACATTCGACCTACCTTTGTCATTTTGGCAATGAGCATCTGTTCTTCCCGTGATGAAGTGATGAGTGGCACCTGACAAATGGGCTCAGGGTCTCGCACACTCAGAGCTTCCTCCACTTGTCTGATGAGCTCCTGCACACAGTAGTACTTGGCCTCCTGGAGAAGCTCATTCAGCTCCCGACAAGATTCTGGCAGCATGATGGACCCGTCCCTCAAGTAAGACAGAATGGTGCCGAAATGTTTTCCACATCGGTCAATGAGGACCCAACCTGGGGAAAAAAAATTGTTAAAACAAAGTCATGATCTCCACTGCTGCATCTCTAAAATGGTCAGACAATGACATCCTGTAAGCAAATGAGAACTCTCATTAACCCTTTAAGATTTTGTCCCGGATAAATGTTCACCCGATTAGTGCATTCCCACGCAGTGTTCCCCAGAAGATTCCGGATCAGTCAGTCATCCTGCTCGGCTAACAGCATTTCGTTTCATGCGGGGGTCAGCAACTGTGCGCTAAAATGTAAGCACGTCGGTCTGCTTGTGCCTGTGTGCCCTTCTGGAACTTTCTGTGCTGTTTTGAAACATGAAGCGTAGGTACAGAGATGTTCATCCAATGAAATATGAGCATTTCGACCTAGTAAGACACTTGAGGAACTCGAAAGGATATTCAGGAAATAAGACTTTCATCTTTCAATGCAAACACTTTAACACCTTTTCACGCTTTTCAAACAAGCTCATTTTTACACAAAACGCTGTGTTCTGATGCAAATAATCATATTCGATGGTTTTTAAAATCATTGCCCTACCAGAGGGAGAAATTTGAGAGCAACCAAATGAAATTTATCCCCAGCTGTTCGCAAGTTCATAACAGGTGTGAAATCTGGAAAACTGGAAAAGTTATTTGATTTGGTGTAACTTCCACTGTCAGCGTCTGATCAACTGACGAGGGGATAAGGGGTTTATTCATGCGGCCGTAACACTTATTCATAGATCGCATCAATTTGCTATAAAGCATGAGTTAACATTTTTTTTTCATTTTATCTGCTGCTTATACCCTTTTGGGTGTCACGGGAGGAAAAAGACGTCTCTCTGCCACAAGCTGGAGAGCTTGGGTCAGGGGGCAGTCATGAGTTGTTAGTGTTTCCCTGACGCCATCTATCCCGGTCTTTCTCTGTCATCCTTTCGCCTTGTTGCCATTGGATTGTTTTATGTAGGCACGTTGTGCTGGACGGTGTGTTGGTAATCGCATGAGATGTTTGAACATTTGGAGTCACGGCGCAGTGGAATCAGGCGCTTGTCAATTTTTGGGCAAATCGGATTATTGACGTCACCTGAAAGCTTATTCATTTGCCTAGTTCTGTAGGAAAAAAATACTCATCTCCCTTCAATAGAAATTGAGATATTCGCCATTGAAGAAGGTGGGGTTGCCTGGTTTCTGTGGTAAAATAATCCAGAAAATGGCTGCCAAAGTCTGCCAAAGTTTAGTAACTTAAATAGCTTGAAAGTCCTTGAAAACTGAAAAATTACACATTCTGTGACTTAAACCAATGTTTTTCAGTAAAATTCACTGTGTTTTTACATGAACATAAAAGTTTTGAGCCAAAAAAACTAAAACTCAATAAAAATTGCCAAACAGGCGGAAAAAAACCTGTTTCTTCGATTTCATTCTTTTGTAGAGCGCCTGATTTCACCACGATGCCTCACATTTGATTCTTTGGTGTTGGATGTGATGCATGACATCATTTGCACAATTTCTCTGACTAATTTCCTGAGTTTCCAATTTTGTCTCACCTGGTCTTGTTTACTGCTTTTCTAAGACATTGAATTTCATATGTTGTAATTTTCTGGTCCAATGTCTTGTTCGTGGAACTAACACAGTAGAAAAAATGTAACTTACTGTACATCTTCCTTAACACTAAGAGTTACAGTAATGAGTTGGTCCTTTTTGAAAAACACTCTTGTGTTTAAATTCTAAATGTGTGTGACTTAATTCTATTGCTAAATCTAATAACTTTAGAAAAATATATATACTTTTTATAAAGTTTATATTTCATGCTCAAAAAGACTTTTTAATGGGCTTCTTTCAAGTTTCTAAAGAAGGAAGAAGATGAATGTGAGGTTCTTGAACCGGTTTGACAAACAACAGCAGTTGGAGGATGATCTAAAGCCAACAACATAAAAAAGTCTATAACCCAAACAGATGAAGGAATTTTGTTGGGGACAAATACCACAGATGATAACAAGGAAATACAGAGTAGCACAGAAAACTTGAAGATGTGAAAATCGTATTCAATACAGCTCGAATAATATGCTATTCCCCTACTAAAACACTCTATATTTTCCTTGTATTGACAGCACTGTTTTCTCAAACACCTGTACAAATATGTCAAGCATCTCGTTTCGAAAAATAGAGAAGTAGTAAAAAACAGTTATGTCTGCCACTGCTGCCTCTTCCACCTACCTTCCACGTCGTGCAACACATCCATTCTGCCACTGAACATTGCACGCAGCATCGTGTCCTGCTTACATAGTGTGTCGATGGTGCTCAGGTGCAGGGTGCCACCTACGTTCAGTTTCACATATTTAGAGTCGGACTTCGCCCGTACTGCTTGGGTGGCCAGTGCTTGACTGGCTGCCCCAGACATTCCAGACTTATCACCAGACTCCTCACTGAAAATGTTTGACAGACAAATAAGCTATGCTATTTAAAGTTTCCAAATGGCCAATGGCTAATCAAATTGCACGAATAATATTGGTACAGAGCCCTGGTACATGCAGTAAACTTACCACAATAAGTATCAGTGTATCCCTCTGAGGGAAAACACAACTTTTTATAACCCACAACTACAAGAGTATTTATATATATACAATATTTTCATTAACAGGCGGGGGCATTTTAACGATGTTGCTTTAAAAACATACTTAACCTTGTAATGATGAAAATTATGAACCTCATTTAGTAAGGTTTAAGATTAGTTCTTTTGTCCTTTAAGTCATTCTAAAACACAGTTTATAAGTCATGATAAGTGCCGCAGAGTAGAGACTTCAGAGTTAGAGACTGGAGTAACAATAACATACAAAGAAAGGGAGGCGAGACAATGACAATTGAAGATTCATACAAAAGAAATAGAAACAAACTGCACAAGAATGCCCACCAACCACCCGCATCTTTAGTTTAGTGAGAAAAAGTAACTAACTGCAAATGTAATTATAACTTGACTGGTTGACCAGTTCAAGACCTGTTCATTGGAATCAACACTTTTGCCCTTCAATACCCACCACAAGAAAAGATAAGAATCATATTGATATTCACATGACATTAAAAAGTTTGTTTAGTCTCCACTTTCTTGAACGGGGGGGGGGAGAGCCAATCACAAGACAAGGATCACACTGACATGTCAGTAGGATAAATACTAAGCTGTGCAGTTTCCACTTCCTTTGTCAACTTACCAAGTATCAATGTTGATTTTTCCCCAAAGTTCCACAGCAAGCCGGTTTCCCTCCAGTGTGTCAGTCAAGTTGTAAGTGAAGCCCACTTACTGAAATTGAAATATATAGACATTTTCAGTTTGTTGTTAATGAGAAACTAAATTCACAGTTATTGTTGGGAGAGTATACAGATCAGGTAACCGGAAAGAAAGTCATGAAGTATACAGACCCGGTAAGGGAAATCTTTTGTGATGTCGGAAAGTTTCAGCACGCTCTTGGCTCAGGGTTGACCTAGAGGTTCTTCTATGGCCTAGGTTTAGATCTAGACAGACATAAATCTTAGATCTAGTTTCGAGGCTTAGATCTAAATGAGGATTGCCGATGTATTTGCGATGAACGATAATTTTTTCTCCGTTTTCGAGTTGGAGGAATCAATAAGACAATTTGAAAAGAACAATGTCATCTAGGCCTATTGTCAATCGAGCAGTCATCTCTCTCTCTCTCTCTCTCTCTCTCTCTCTCACACACACACACACACACACACACACATACATGTACACACACACCACCGGACCAAGTCTGGGCACTGAAACTTTGCGATATCACAAAAGATTTCCCTACCGCGTCTGTACTCTTCTTGACTTTGTTCTCAGTTACCGGGTCTGTCTACATTTCGTTGTTGCTAATCGAATCATTCTCTGAATACTAGATCTAGATCTATTACTGTACTGTATAGTCCAGGGGCGAAGGCTGACTTGTTTGACAGGGTAATCAAAGTGAGAAGGGAAAAGATATAGGGCCTCGGGATATCCCACAAGAATCTTACTCGAGGCGGCAACACTGCGTTGTGAATGAAAACAAATCCTGAATTCATGTTGTATGCCATGTTCAACCGTTAAAATAATCGGGAAAGTATCTCATTAAATATTTAGTCCAACAAACATTAAATTTATCTTTAGATGTGAATACACAAACACAGAGCAGAGAAGCAGAGAAGCAGAGATGTCAGTTCTACATACAACACCAGAGTGTCTAAACTCTTTGTAGAACATGACAATTATTAATTTTTTATTTCACAGTTGGCTGTTTTTTGTCTAGCATTTCGCGGCCAGGAGCCGATGTCATAATCGAAGTCACGATCTGGTTATAGGACGGTAAAAAGTCGGGAGAAAAAAAAGAACTCTCAACAGTCAAGATGTTAAATTAGGAGTTAGATCTAGTTCCCCTCACATCTGTGAGGTAGACTCGACAAGTGTAATAATTTGCTTACATAATCAGAGCTTGTGACTGCTTGGCTTATATAACTGTGGCCCGAAAGGAGTGAACAGGGTATATGTGGCAATGAAACAGCTTTGAATGCCCTATGTATACATGTTCCCTTCAACTCTTTTGGTAGACTCTTCCAGCGTCACTGTAAGCTTACTTTTAATCAAAGCTTGCGGCTGCTTTTGTAAGTTTTTGTAAAGTGTTTTACGGCGCTCGCAACTGCATAGGTCATATGAGCGCGCGGGACACACCTAATATTTTTAGTTGGTAGGAAATTTCGAATTTTGCCCGGGTGGCGGCCGAAGCCTACTCTTATCGATTTTAGACCACCAAGGGATCTTTAACGTGCGCAACTTACACACGGGCCCTCCGAGATTTTTCGCCCTTGTCCGAGAAGGCTAGGTGTAGATCTTTCCTACCAGAAGATCAGGGGTGTGGCAGAAAGACAGCAGTAAAGAGGAGCCAAGGAGTAGCAGTAGAAAGGCTGCAGAAAGAGTCAGGAGCCCAGAGGAGGGGGCAAAGGAGGTGAGGGGGTGGGGGCAGAAAGAGGAGACGAAAGCAGACGACAGAATATTGCTAGAGAGCAGGAAAGGAGGTGAAAGAGACAATTTTAGAGAAGAAAATTGTTCGGTCGCTACCCGGATTCGAACCCGGGACCTTTGAATGAGAGGCCAACACCTTAACCTCTAGGCCACGAGAGCCCCCTGCGGCTGCTTATGGAGTGGCCCGATAGGGGTGAACAGGCTATTTCTATTTAATTTATGAGGTTTACGTTTATAGGCGAATTTGACTGCGACAATGTTTCAAAATTAGGAAGGGAAGCAGTGATTATTAGATTAAATATATTGAGCCTTCGCCACTGGTATAGCCTGAAATCTGAAAGACTGTTACTAACATGCCTGAAAGTCTAATATTAGTATTATCAGAATCATTATCCTCTGTCTGCTTTCAACATTCTTAGAAACAAAAAGTACCAAAAAATTAACTGCAGTGGTATTTAATATAAATATGACAAAAAAAGCCAATGAGCCCAATGTAGCAGTGTTGGACCCAGACCCAATCCTGCAATACTAATGGCCACCTCTATTCTCACCCCGGATGAGAATAGCGCTGGCGAGTCTTTTGGCTATTCTCACCCGGTGTGCGTTCACCGTTATAGCCTAGGCCAACCAGTGAAGCGTTCACCCTGAACCACAGAATTCTACACTGTGATATAACTGAATTGTAGAATTCTGTGCCGTGAACAAACATTCTAGATCTATTACTACTGTTAGTGTAGCCTAAAAGCGTGCAATTTTGTCTGTGGGCAGTGGAGAGAGAGAAAGAGAGGAGTAGCACGAGAACTTCTAGGCAAAACGAAATGGCGACCCGCGTAGTTCGGCTTGATTCGGAAAGTTAACTAGCCGTAGCATCTTTGTAGACGACCAAATTGATTTAGTTTTGTTTTTTAACATCATTTTTTAACTATGTTTTGGTCAATTTGATCGTCCACACCGATAGACAGTACATTCAGAAAGAGACAGAGAGAGAGAGAGGGGGGAGGAGTAGATCTTGCGAGAACTTCCGGGCAGAACAAAATGGCAACCCGCGTAGTTCGGCTCGATTCGAAAAGTGAAATAGCCATGGCATCTTTGAAGACTATCAAATTAGCTTACTTTTGTGCTATAATGTAATTTTTTCTTGGCTTTTATCAATGGTAGTGTCAATTGATACCGAGTGACGCGGTGGCAATTGACAAAATACTTTTTGTCAATTGCCACTGAGTAAATTGGAGCTCTTTTGCGTTGTGGTGGGTAGATCTAGCTTATTGTGCTCGAATGCTCGGTGTTGTGCGTTCGCCTCTCTGTCCCTCTGTGTGTGTGTGTGTGTATGTGTGTGTGCGTGTGTCTTTTCCTGACCCCCGTCCCCCAATTTATGTTCCTCGATATAACGTGCATTTCTGCTTGAGTTTGTGTGCATTTGTGACCTTCTACTTCTAGAATTGCCTGTGTTGGTTCTGCACCAAAGTGTCAGCTAAGGCTAGCCTAGATCTAGGCCTACGTCTCATTGAAAACACGCGAAGTTGGTACCGTAGCTCTAGACAAGATGCTCGTCCAATGAAATTAGTTGAAAACAAATTGACCTGGAGACATATATTATAATGCTAAAGATAGTGTTGTTTTCAGACTTGACACCGCTTCACTCTGTGGCAATTGACAAAAAGTCAATTTTTGTCAATTGCCACCACGTCACTCGGTGGCAATTGATGCTACCTTTATCAATTTGATCCTCCACACCAAAATGAGGAAAAACAGGTCTTGTTTAGCAATGCCAATGAAAATTTAAATTTTCACTTTTGTCCCCTTTTTTTTGGTACTTAAGAAAGAATTTTCAATTCTAAGAATTATGCTTCTTGAATTTTGAGAATTGGTTCATAAATAAAAAAAGTTATGGGGTTGTAAAGGTCGGCAAAATATGGATGACCCACATATAGGAAAATACTCCTAAAAAGTGGACCACGCAGTAGCAGATTCTGTAAGAAAATCGACGATATCTCGGTAACTAATCGGAGTGTTCGAGAGAAACTTGGCTACCCGATGTGTTTTTGAGTGTAGAAATCATTTCTGCAGTCATATTTACTACCAATTTCGTCGCTATTTTGTTATAATTAAAATTGTGGTGTACATATTACGAGTTTGCGAAAAAGGGGTGTCGGGATGAGTCCATTTTATTTATAGCATCGTATCACAACATGGGATCTTTAAGAATATATGTCGGCGGCGTGACTAAATAATTGCAAAGCTTTTTATGATGACTTTAGACCATGCCAACCTTAAAAGATAAGTTAATTCGATCTAGCATGCCGTACAATTAAAAATTCTTTTCCCCCGTTGAGACGCGAACACCCCGAGACGAGATAACCTCGCCTCGGAATACCCCCATAGCGATGTTACAGGGGAATAGAGAGAAAAACAACCGGATGCGCGCGCCCGCCATTGCCCTATTTCAAGTGACCAATGAACGGGCCCGGAATAGTCTTGTGGGGATTTGTAGGTCACATACATTTGCCACGAGAGTGAGGGGAAAATGGCCGGTCTCCGTGCGAAGCCGCTTTGGATAGGGGGGTAGTCGTGCATTTATGATCAGGTCTAAACAACTACTAGACACAGAACGTTCAAATTTGAGCACACTATAGAGGATAGATAGATCTATTACCATCTCGGCGTTGAAATTCAAACTCCTTATAGTTTTCGGTGTACACGATACGAAAGTGTTCCCGACACCAAAAGTATAGGTTAATTTATGTGTACGAACTTCAATGTCCACATATCATTAGTTTGCCCTATTTTCTGATTGGTTGCCGAGTTTCATTCGGATTGGTTCGGAAATAGAGCAGACCGAGGTTGACAAAGTTAGTCACCTACGCTTCGGCCGGGTCCGCAAAATCGCCCGTAAACGGGGACCAAATTTTCGCCTCGCGGGAAAGCCCGATTGGCATTGCTATCTTGTTTCACAGCGGGTGAGAATAGCCTACGCTGGCAAGTCTCACCCGGGGTGAGAGGTAGATCGTATTTTTATTCTCACCCCGGGTGAGGATAGCCACTTCCATACTAATATTATAAGTAGATCTAGATCTAGAATCTAGACTAGATCTACATCTATATCTAGATCTAGATCTAGAATCTAGTAGTAGGAGTCTGTCACTTCAAACGAGTTTTTGACTCCTATGAGTGAGCCAGGGGTGAGGGGTGTGAGGCCATACAATCATGAAGACCACAGTAACACTTATTATTGTAGATACCATATTCGTCAACTTCCTTTAATATTTCATATAAAAATATTTAATCTCGGCCGACCTACCTCCCTACTCTTCTTAATTCTGGTTCAGGTTCGGTTTTAGTTGCACAGGCAGGCGAGCCACAATGGCAATCGCAATGGTGTTCCTGAATGGCCCTGAATCCTGTCAATCAAAGTATACCGTTGGTGTGGTTGCCTCAAATATAATTACATCACTAAAGTGATTTCACTAGAACACGCTGCATGAATACAAAAACAAATAGATCTACATTGACTGAAATTGCAGAAATCGTCCACCGAATTCTGAAAGGGAGTGTAATGTAAACACAGTCGACTATCACACTCAATTATTAGTTTAGTCATTGACGTCACTGACAACACGGAAGTAAGCTTGGCAAGGGGCAGGGCAGCCTGGACTGTTGAAGTCGTATTGATTTATTTTCGCTATTTATGAAAAAGGCATAATAATACATATATTGGTTTCCTTTTCTTATCTATAGCGATATAATTATACTATTTTAGATCAGGAAATAAAATATTAAGACAGACTGGAGTGACTTAAATAACATTTCATGAATCATCTACAATTCCAAACTTCTTGCTAGGCCTAATATGCGATTTGTTCTCTGTACGGAACAATTGAATTGTTGTCCCAGATTGGAAGGAGGTTTATGCAAAGAAGTCTGGTTTTTTAAAAATAAATAAATAAATAGATAAATATAAAGTTATATATCGTGTATTATTCTTTGAAAAAAGATTTAAACTCCACCATCATATTTCAACTGGCTTTCATTAATTCAATAAATATTAATTGGGGATACATTTTATTTTAAAGGCAGTAAGCAATATAAATAGGTGTAGGTAGACTCTATACCTACGAATAATGGAACACAACATGCCAGAAGTCAATCAAGATTGCAGGAACAGTGTCAGAATTAGAAGCTGATTTGCATCCTAGGTGACTGGAAGAACTTAATTTTTTTTTTCTTTTATATTATTATGAAATTTATTTTGTCACAACGCCCATCCAATTTGGGTTTGGCTTTTTAGTTAAAGAGAAAAATTATAATTTCAGCCGAAAAAAATTTCGACAAAAGTAAACCGGGAGCCCCATGTTCACTTACTGTCTGACAGCAAAGAGAGTAGGCTCCCTTAGATTGAATGTTGACAACATGGAAGAAGTCTGGAAACTTGCGGCGGAGTTTCAAGCGCTTCAATTGTCTACTGCTAAGCAAAAGTACCTTTCTTCATAGTTCTTAGAGTTATTACAAATAGTACTTTGCGTTTTATAAGTAGGGGTTTCCGCTGATTTTTTACTGCTTTGCAGAAAGTTATTTTTTCATGCACCAGATGCCGCATCTGGCTGGATAGCTTTCCGATCCGGCTCCCGGTGATGTCCGGGCCGAGACCTTTCGGTGCCTTACCCACTTGCACTTTCTTTTAGATTCTTGATTCTAGATCTAATTGCACTCTCATTACAGTACTCCTTGCACTGGCGAGTATAAGATGGAATCGCAAGGGAGCCAGAAAAAAATTCCGTCTCAGACAGGGAATTTAGGGAGGAGATGGAGGGGGCTTTCAAAGTAATCAGAGGCCCAGCCCGGGCCAGTGGGATCAACAAGACAAGGGTCACTTGTCGAGTCAGCAAGTAGTGGTCGAAACTTCACACCTCTCAACTGCTATCCTCTCTGATAATGACATGCGTTAGTCTTACTTATCCAATTGCCGCCTGTGCTTGCATTTCTAAAGACCACTGTTTGACATTAAAAACAGAAAGAAGCTAAACGTTTGAAGGTCTTGTTCCCCCCTTAGCAAAATGCCACCCCTCACTGCCACGTAACGATTCGAGGAACACTTTTCTAGACTGGCCGTACGATCAAGGCCCCAGGCATTGGTCAAACTAATTACTCACCTCTGGCTGGCTTCTGGCTACCCAGGAAAGTTTCCCTGGTGGCTCCCTACTCGAACCCGAACACTTTCACTGGCACTCGTGAGATTTCACACCCACACCACCCAGACCATCTACATCGCTCAGGGCTCACAAAGATGGGGTAACAGTTACCCCCAAATTTCACCCCTATTCCCTGTCCTCACCCGGCAGTATGGTGTTAAGTTCAGCGAAGTGACTATTCGGGCTCGATCCGATCTTAAACAAAAATTATATTTGGACTCTGAATTGAGTCCAGCTTGACGTCTGTTCCGACTTCCGACCCTTGTTCCTATATATTTCCAGCATTTATGAAAAAAATTTCGCATTTTTATAGTGATAACAATCGAGACTTGAGCTTTATTATCCAGTTATTAAGATCTTTCTAAACTAGCCCTCCCTGCATCATTAGTGTATGAACAGAACAACCAAGTTGCATACTTTTCCGTGGGCAAAATCCAATGAGATTGGGTGTTGTGGTCATGCACTCTCAGCTTGCTGGGGGAAGAAGTGTGGGATGTGATTTTTCTTAACCCTTAGAGCGCTGACTTCTTTCCCCTTATATTTTCCCTCTGTGCTGAATTTATTTAGGAAAAACGCCAGATTTGCACATATGCTCTTTTATTGGCTAATAACTTTTTTATTTGTCAAAATTTCTAATAAAAGTAAGGATAAAAGTTTTAGAATATTGAAAGTTCTTTATGATTATGTTAAGCAAAAAGTATTTTGTGAAGTTATTGCTGTAGTAATGATGTTGACAATGACTAAATAAAAACTGCCGGTTCATTAGGTCTCTGGATCTAGACCCGAGTCTAGATGCTTCGTAGGCCTATGTTATATATTCCACAAAGTGTTAGCTCTAGCATCAAAACATCTTCATCTGAATCTGATGCGACACTATTTTCATGTTTGTCGCGGGTCGCAATCGCAAATTTTCCAACTTCACTATCTCTTGACTTCAACGTGAAACGAAAAACTCCTCGTGCCTCGATCGAACCCCGTGACAAGAAAAATGGCGGTCGAAATCACTTCTGCGTAACCTACCAGCCAGCAGTATAAAAATTAGTACGTCGTTCTTTTCGTACATCGCGTTATACTATGCCAATGTCTATCGCGACCGGCGGTCGCGATCAGCACTTGACGAAAGTTCGGGCCGTCGCGACCTGTGGTCGCAATCAGCACTCTAAGGGTTAAAATTAATCACAGAAAAACTATTATAATAACACACAACAATATGAAATTAATCATGGAAAAACAAATGCTGGTGGAAGTAATGATGTTGCTGTAGTGGTGGTGGAAAGACCCTGAGTTATCGGTTACAGTGTACTTAGATAGCAATGCTAATCAGGCTTCCGCGCCCGGCAAATATTTGGTCCGGCACGGCCGTTTGCGGGTGAATTTTTGGACCTGGTCAAAATGATAGTGACTAACTTTCTCAAGCTCATTACTCTATATCTGGATCAATGTGAATGAAACTTGAGAACCAATTAGAAAATAGGGCAAACTAATTATATGTGGAAGTTGAAGTTCGTACCTATATATTAACCTATATATATAACTTTTAGTATCGGAAACTCTTTCGTATCGGCTACACCGAAAACTCTAAGGAGTTTGATATTTGACGCCGAGATGGTGAGAGATCCATCTTTCCTCTATAATGTGCTAAAATTTGAATGTTCTGTGTCAAGTAGTTGTGCAGAATTTATCATAAATGTACCACTACCCCCCTGGCCAAAGCGGCTTCGCACGGAGACCAGCCATTTTCCCCCTTACTCCCTTTGCAAATGTAAATGACCTACAAATTCCCGCTTGACTATTCTGAGCCCGTTCATTGGTCACTTGAAATAGGGCAATGGCGGGCATGCGCATCCGATCGTTTTTCTCTCTGTTCCCCTGTAACATCACAATGGGGGTATTCCAAGGTGAGCTTATCTCGCCTCGGGGTGTTCGCGTCTCAACTGGAAAAAGGGGTTTTAATTTAACGGCATGCTAGATTGAATTAAATTATATTTTATGGTTGGCATGGTCTAAAGTCATCAAAGAAAGCTTTGCCATTATTGAATCAGGCTGCAAACATATTCTTAAAGATCCCATGTTGTGATACAATGCTATAAATATAAAATGGTCTCTTCCTGACACCCCTTTTTCGCAAAATCGAAATATGTACTCCAAAATTTTTGTTATAACAAAATAACTACAAAATGGTTAGTTAATCTGACTGCAAAAATGATTTCTCCACCCAAAAACACATTGAGTAGCCAAGTTTCTTTCTAACACTCCATTTAATTACTAAGATATCGTTGATTTTCTGACAGCATCTGCTTCTGCGTGGTCCACTTTAAGGAGTGTTTTCCTACATGTGGGTCATTCATATTTTGGCGACCTTTACAATCACATGACTTTTTTATTTATAAACCAATTCTTAAAATTCAAAAAGCATAATTCTTAGAATTGAAAACTCTTTCTTAGGTATCAAGTAGAAAAAGGATAAAGCTAAAAATAAAATTTTCATTGGCATTGCCAACTTAGACACTTCCATTGGGCAATGGGAGCGCAGTCTTTTGACTTTTGACACTATTACTGTCTTGGAAGGTAATTCTAGTTCAAATTCCGGTACGTAAAATCCCCTAATGGCAGTTATAATTGTAACCTCCTCACACTCACATTAGCTCACTTAGAAGCCGAGTTCGAATTAAAAAAAAAAAAATTTTACGAACCCGAGTCCGAATAGATAAAACCCATATTCGAACTCGAGTCCGAATAGAGATAAAATATCTAATCTGACTCGAGTCCAAATAGAGCTGGCGTAAGTTTAGAGCCCCAGAACAAAACTTGCGAGTTTTGTTTCAAATCAGGGCTGAGCAGGCAAAGCATTTTCTGTCTGAGACAGGTAAAACCCTCGGAAGGGAATGGATTTTTCTTTCTGTTTCCGCGTTGGGCAGGTTTCTGTTTTATACAGGTACCTAAAGAGGACTATATCCAGGTGGAGCAGGGAGATTCTGTTTGAAACAGGTTTCCATTAAGGCAGGTTTGACTACTTTTTGTCGCTTGTGTGCAGTGGTGATAGGTAAATCAAAGTGTAGGTGGGTCTGAGGGTAATTTTTTTTACTTTTGGTTTAGACCCACGCACAGATGTACTGTTTTCAGGGCTGAATTGACATTAGTTTTGCCTCAGAACACACATACATATGGCTACTAAAACCCTCACTAATGAATTGTCTTCAACAAAGTATCAAACCTAGGTGCAAAACATTAAATTATGGTGAAATACAGGGGATCGTCCCCCTCCCCCCGAGACTGAACACCCCCCCCCCCCCCCCCCCACGTCGTCTTAATACTAAGTCAAATATTACTCTGCAGTAGGTTATATTGTAATATAGTTCGTATAAAAACATCCCCATACCTCTCATAAATTAATTATTTGCGATTGGTTTAAAGTCAAAATTTATGTAAAGTAAAAAAAAATATGAACAAGAAAAGTGCTTTGGAAAATCTGAGCAAGAGACAGGTCCATTAGTAAAATTATACCGGGCTCAGAAATTATGTTAATTTTAGGTCAAAGGTAAGATTTCCTCGGTGCACACGAAACCTCAGAGATTTTTCGCAATTATCCGAGAAGGCTAGGTGTAGATTTTATCTACCATAAGATCTGGGGTGTGGGTGAAAGGCTGCAGAAAGAGTCAGGAGCCGAGAGGAGTGGGCAAAAGGGAGAGGGGGAGGGGGCCGAAAGTGAAGATGAAAGCAGGTGACAGAATCTGGTTAGAGACCCGGAAAGGGGGTGAAAGGAAATTTACATCCCCTCTAGACCATGAGAGCCCCCGAAAACTATCTTAATTTGTTTTAATAGCAAGAGAAAGAAAAAAACGCTCTTGAAGAAAAAGAAAACTGCCTCTGATTTGTCTGAATAGTTTTTATTTGATCGATATTTTGAAATGGCAATGTCTGGGGGCTGGAGGTAAAGCAATATTTTTTGCTCCCAATTTGTAATGAAACCATCTATTGCAATGCGTGGGTGACTGACTTAGTCCATTAGGTGAAAAAAAGTATCACACATGACTTCACCAAATTTTTAACCAATCGAAACAAGTGGTCTACTGTTGGCTCGCCATTTCCTGTAGCTTGTAACCGAAAAACACAGGTGATATCGATCGATAAAGCGCATCCCGTAAATACACAGGATTAGGCCAGCGGGGCATCCCATAAATACACGAGAATAGGCTCAAGTGAGTTAAACACGAATTTCAACTTGTTCAAACCAAGGTTCACATTCGTTTTCATGGCAACAAATTCTACAGATTGTCTGAGAGAAATGTGATTGAGCTTGTTTCAAAGCTGGTCGACTTCCGGCTCATAGATGTCTTGTACACAGCTGACGGGAAAACTTACCTGACACATCAGCAGTTGGGAAAGGAGATCAAAGATGAATTGATCATCCGTGGTGGTAAGTGATGTTGTTTGTAAGGAAGACAAGAATTGTTCATTTTTACAGATTAAAAATCTATCCTGAAAATGATAAGTAGGATCTGAAATCAAGTTTCTCTATTTTAAGTCTCTTTATATTCCCTCAGTATCTGTCTGTCTGTCTCTATTCTTTTATTTACCTCTGCAGTGCATGTGCTTTGAATTTGAAATAAAATCTTTTTTGAATTTGTGCATTTTTGCATCTTCTTATTTCTCTTCAACAGATAGATTTGTTTCATTTGTCACTTTAGATACTTTCTATGATGATTCTCTCATTGTGTTGTAAGTTTAAGTGCTTAGATTTTATAACTTTACTTAACCCCTTCAATGCTGCAGGTAAAGAGGCCCCTGTGCCAGGGGAAATCCCATGAACCAAGGCAGCTCAGGGATGACCCCACTCTACATCCTATAAATTTTTTATTTATGAATATTTCCTCATGAGTTTCTTCATGTACATTCTACATTGAACCACATTTCTATTTTATTATAATATGATTAGGGGGGAATTTCATTTCGAAATAGATGGAGAATAGTTTGAGTTAGTAGTAACGTGATTCCAAAAACAACACCACCAAACAACATAAACAACACACATTCGAGTAATGATTAACTGCGACCTAAAAAGGGGAATACATGTTGTGTGAGTGATTGCAGGTAAAGAAGAAGTGACAAGATGCTTTTCCTACCTTATACAACACTGGTACAATCCACATACATGGAAGATCATCTGTGTTTACTGCCAGTAAATCATTTTTGTTTGGTAGATATGCTAGATCTAGATCTAGATCTAATCTTCTCTTCGATTTCAAATCTGAATCTGACGCTTTGCTTTCAAATAGGTGGAAAAATGAAGGTTATCATAAAGGGAAGGTACCCCTTTAATAATTACAAGATTTTAGCAGCAACTTCCCTTATAATGTGTTTATATCAAAACAACCACTGTCACAGTCCTGTAAATTCTACGGGCCATAGGCGCAGCGCTACAAGGCTCAGGCCCATAAATTCTACGGGCGCTGCTGTGAAGAGGTTAAACCCTTTAATGAAAGTTTAAAATGTTTGAGCTGTGACCTCTGTTTTTCAGGTCGCATCAACCTGGTGGAGTTGCAGCAGCTGCTGAATGTAGACTACAGCCACATTGAGGCCAAGGTCAATGACATGGTCAAGCATGACCATCACCTGGTCTTGGTCCTGGGTCAGCTCATTGACAGCTCGTACCGCACGCGGTTATCAGAGGAGATTAATGACCTTCTGCAGGAGAAAGGTCATGTGACCATAATTGAATTGACGAAGACTCACGATTTACCTGCAGAGTTTCTCCGAGAGGTATGAGTATAATTATTTTGGATTTTTTGGTCTCTTTATCATCTTTGGTGCTCACTATTCAAAAAATCTTTTTGTGTTGTGCAGTGAAGGTTCAATGCAACATTTTAGTGTATGTTATAAAAATTCATCAAGTTTTAGTGCAGAACCTCTGAAGTAAATTTGGTTGTTGTTAACAATTGTGGAAAAGTTTATGACATCTGGAAGTACTGTTGAAATGTGAGGTTCAAAATTCTCCTCAAGATCATAGCTGCAGGTTAGGCAATGCTTGTGACCAGGTCAGAGGCAATGTTTCGTGTTTTTCTAAATTAAACATTTATAAGGAGGGGGGGGGGGATATATCCAAATTAGTTTTAGCACATTTGAACGTTCTCTTACAGCCCCATGTCTAAGACAACCACTTTTCTCCACCACAATGTATGTGTTGGGCAATTTTGACTGTATTGTGCATTTATATCTGTTGTATGATGTCATCAGGTGATTGAGGAGAATCTTGGAAAGAAGATAAAGGGCCAGATCGACAGCTATGACAGGGATGTCGTCTTCACCGAGGTCTTTGTGAGGAGAAAGAGAGCTGAAATCCGTGGAGCCTTATCCGCTGTGACAGTGTAGGTTCTTGTTTGGATATACAAATAGCAATCACAGTGGTCTTTGAACTGTGCTAGGGCCATAGTAATTGGTCAATTTCTTCTGTTCAATTCTTTCAAAAAGAGCTGTTATGAGTGGAATGATGCTTATTTATCTTCGCTCGTTAACATCTCAATATGTTTTTCTTCACTCGTTAATGTGTCGAAATGCTTCTCTTCACTTGTTCATTTGTCAGTATGCTCAAACTAAACTGTTTTAATTTGGAAATGTTGTCTCAGGAAAATTTTGAGCTGTCAGAGGTGAGCTTTGAGAATCACAATCTGTCGGACGGGACGCAGAATAAAGAAGACAAAACTGAAAAAATCTGACTTGATGAGGAAACCTGTAATTACAAATAAAATCGAACCTGTTCTAATGTCGAAGAAAATCACCTGTACAACCGGTCACTTCTCAACTCCCCCTTGCAATTTTTCTATCTTGTATAGACCCTGTCTAAGTTGTCCACCTGTCTAAGACAACCACTTTTCTCCTCGACAATGGGTGGCCGTCTTGGACAATTTCAACTGTTATTGTTTTCTCAGAGTAAACTTGGCCCAAATTCTGGTGCTCATTCTATCTCAACGTCAACATAAATTTTTGTCAGTTTGCACAGTCCTGTGTGAATGTTCAGTATTATCATCCGTTTTTTCATCCGTTTTTTCTTTTTCAATCATAACTCAGGCCCACTACCTTGGGACCAGTGAGGCAAGCTGTAGGCTGTCAGGAGCATCTTTTCCACAGTGAGTACAGTTTACGTAGATGTCACTCATTTCTGCCTCCAGAGAGAGAGAGATTCCAGTAGCAAGCAGGTGTAGGGATGAGCCAAGTTTTTGGTCAAGAGAGACACTTGTTACTAAAGAAAAATGCAAGTGCAAGTTATAAATGAAAACATAATGATATCGTTTGTCACAAATAGTAATCACTGAGGATATGTAGATTGCATACTGCACCTGTAATAAGCATAAGTGATACAGCTTCTTTCAAGTTTAAGTCAATGTACCGTTTTTGTGAGGCAAGGTTTGTGTTGGTTTTGTTTTCCATTATTTGTTTGTATCATCTTGTAAAGGAACCTGCAATATGTTGTTTGTAAAAGAATAAATGTGCTGCTATGTAAGAGTTGACTTCCATAATGCATTTTACTTTTTGCCCCAAAGCTAATTTAAGTGTTCAGGGATCTCATAGCAGTAGTCGACTCACCTTTCGTTTCCACTTGTTTTCAGCTATCCTGGAAGAGTTGCTTTCTAGTGGTCGGCTGGCAGGTGGTGTTATGGGCAGTAGACAAGACAAGTCACAGTTCCTCCCAGATATCTACACCCGAGCACAGCACGAATGGGTCGACTCCTTTTACAGACAGAATGGTTATCTAGGTAGGAACACATGAGATATGTTTATTTCTGGAAAAATATTGACACGATCGGTCACGTTCAGTATACAGTTGAACATGCTCTAACAGCCCCTTATCCTAGACAATCAATCACCTGTACAAACAACCGCTTCCCACGACACCCCCCACCCCACCCTATGCTATTTTTAAATATGATAATGACACAGTCCAAGATGCCCACCTGTGTTAGTCAACAACTTTTCTACTTTTCTCCTTGACTGTCTTGGACAATTATGACTGTATTTGAATGGTGGAGAGACATTACATTTTACAGGAGAATACATTGTTCAAAGTTGTAACTCATTGATTTATTTGAATAAATATTTCCCTCCGTATAAGCTAAAAGCAACAGGAAGAGAATCAGATCCTGAGAACAAGCCAGTTTGTGATTTTTCTTTTCTGGCCACACCATTTTCATCCTGTGCTTGTGTGTATTTTTGGCCATGATAGAAGGAGTGTCTCATTATATTTTTTATTGCTTAACTCTAGATTTTTTTGACATTAACTGGATGAAGAAGAAAGTTTTTGGACTGGGGGGGTGGGGGGTGCCACCAAGAAATACAGCGTGTTGTTGTGGTTTTGAAGAAGTGTTTATATTTCTAAATGGTCCAAACAAATATCCTCCCCATACAGGTTGTAGTGTATCAATACTTTAACATGCTTCTGGTGTTTGGGGAGCATGTGGAATTTTTCCCTTATTGTTGATCTTCATGCATTTGTCTGGTTGGACTTCAGTGAAAACTTCAATGTTCTTACCAGGATAGCAGATGAATAAAGGAGCCAGTCATTCCTCCTCTCCAATCTTCGTCCATGATAAATGTTTTTAAAGGCCATTGTTTTCTTTCTTCTCACAACCCTTTTCCATTCAACATTCTGAACATTTGACCACTTACTGAGAAAGAGTATTCAGACATATTTGATTTGTTTCTTTTGTCAATGTTGTTACATGAAGCTGATGCAGATCTGTAAAACAAAGTCGTTTTTTTTTTTTAGACAATGAATTATCTTGGCAGTTCGTTAGTGTTTGATCACTTAATTGGCGACTTAGTAAAAAGATTCTTTTCTTTTACATCTTGATTTTCTCCCGTCTTCATTTAAAGTTTTATTTTTGTTGATAGATAACATGACTGTGTATTCTGTATCATTCAGAATATGTGGCTACGTAAACGTTTGGGTTTTTTTGCGGACAGATTACGACGCAATCGCCCGCCTGGGTATCTCAGACCCAAAGAGCTATGTGAAGAAACGGTTCAAGTCGGAGACAATGGTGTTCCTGTCATCCTGCTGTGTGGGTCCCGCCATCTCAGAGCAGGTTCAGTACAGTTTGGACGAGGCTCTTGGTCTGGGCACGTATGTGGATGTGGCGGTAAGTGAATGTGTTACTAGTTTGTAATACCAAAGTTACAGATGTATCCAATGATGGGAAGGAGAGAAGGTTTCTCTGTTGTTTCATTGGGTCGGATAGGTTTGAATTGTCATGTATACCTACCGTTGCATGGTTAAGGTTAGGATAGTCTTTTATGTTTACCATTTTATGGGTAAGGTTAGGATTCTCTTGTATGTCTACCATTATATGGATAAGGTTAGGATTCTTTTGTATGTCAACCATTGTATGGGTAAGGGTAGGATAGTCTTGTTTGTCTACCATTGTATTGTTAGGGTTAGGTTAGTCTTGTAAGCCTACCATTAAATGTTGTGTAATTTTATTTTTTTTCCTCAATCTTCTGCTGCATAACATTTTAACAAAAAGAAGAATCAGCGATTGTTCCTTAAAATAGGGTATTTAAGTAACACATTTTTCCATTAAATTAAATCTTCATCTGAGAAGGAATTTCATTCTTTTTCAAGAGTGGTTTGTAGGCGCTCTGGTGGGGTTTGCGACTTCTTTCCTTGCAAACACCTATTTTGTCCTTATCTGTCCTCCTCTATTCTTCGACACTTATATATATATGACCCATTTGTGTTGGAAGTGCCATAAAACTCTTACTTAAACTAAACTTATTGTTCTCTTTCTTCTTTTAAACATGTATGTGACAGTGCCTGACATGTTTTGTTTCACTTCAGTCGGCACCTGGCATGTTTTGTTTTCCTACAGTCGGTCCTGCCTTCAGTCCTGAGCAGGAAAGATGTGTCAGAGCTGGTGACCAGCTGCCTCAAGTCAAGGTCCGGTGCCATCGTGTGTGACATGACCATTGTGGCCAGCGAGTCACTAGTGGCTGACAGCGCTCTGCTCTTCTCTGACATCATGGCCCAGAAAGCAGAGAAGGTTTGTGAAGGGCAGGCCAAGGCTTTGCCTGGGACAAGATGCTGTCTTAATGTTGTTGTTCTTGTTGTCATTGTTATTGTTGTTGTTGCTATTGTTGTTAGAGTAGGATTTTGCTAGAATAATCAATGTGATATAGATCAATGAGGAAAAAGTTTAGAGGCTGATTCACACATCAGAGCTTAGTGGTCGAAGGTTGTTATGCAATAAGCTGTCCCCATCGTTTTATGCAAGAAAAATTCTGAAATTATGCAAACTGAGGCCAAAAATGTGAAATGATGCGAATGTGTTAATTTTAACAAAGAATGATAATGGAAAATAATCAGAAATTTTGAAAAAAACTATCAAATTTTGCTAAATTATGCGGGGTGCATAAAACCAGGGGGACAGAATAAGCATGCTTGAGGGATGTTTGTGTTGCTCCTGTTTTTGGCCTTGTGTTATGCCGTGCTGTTGGTTCCTTTGAGGCTTTTGATTCTCCACTGTTAGATAATGGATGAAAACCCAGACCTGACTTATTAGAGCGTCGTATTGTCTTGAAGATGACCGTTGGTAAAAATGCCAAGGCCACTCAGCAATTTGAATACATTATAATGATATGTGAGCAATAGACTTTCCACTAATAGCAGGCTGCAATATAATCCTCAAGGGTTCACCAGATGTAAAAATGAAAATTTTAAACCATTCCATGGGCATTGTTGTCAAGTCATTGGAACTTTCTAACTTAAGGGTACAACAAAACTGTCAAATACAAATTCTTGATGTGTACTGATATATTTTTTAAAGATTATAGTATTGAGTGTTCATATATATATATATATATACATTATTGTCTTCAGTACATATATTTGACAAGGCACTCTATTAGATTAGGGATGCACACATGCTATACCCTTTGTGCCATACATGGACATGCCAACTGACGGGCACTGACCTCTGGTTTTCTGACTTGTCCTTTCACAGACCGTCTTGTCTCACCCGACCTTGATCTCAGGGGAGGCAACAGGTGGTGCAGGAGACAAATCCAACTCACACAAAGTAGCAGGTATTGACGACGGAAGCTCGGCTCGGGAGGACAAGAAGGAACAGCGCAGGAAAAAGGCAGCAAGTCAGTTCTGGCAGATGTAACTGTTTTTTGCTTGAGCTGTGTGTGTAGCTGGTGGCACAAAACACTCAACCCATGCTCCTCCCCCAACACACGCCCGCACGCTCACACACACACACACACACACACACACACACACACACACACACACACACACACACACACACACACATACAAACGCACATCCCCTCTTCTTTTTATTAAAGTTTGGCTGCCTTTGTAACACTGATGACTGTCCTGTAGAGAATTCTGTCAGTGAGAACAGTCCGAGGTATCTGGACTGTTAGCTGATGGATAGTCAAAAGCCACATTGTCAGCAAGCTATTCAAAACTCCGAAGTGGGTTTTTTAACATTTTTAATGCAGTTGCTTAATCTCGGGCAGAGGTTGCATGAGGTCATGAAATATTTTGTAAAAATACAAATTGCTAATGTTGGAAAAAGGAAAGGATGTCATAAACCCAGGGTCTGTGTTATTCACATTGTCGAAGTATGCCAAGCCGTGGTTAGCTGTGTAGCATGTCTGGACGTTTTTTCTTCCTGACCGACACGTGACCGCAAGGCAACATTTATGGAGACATTTACGATGTTCACCTTAGATGTACTGAGTACATGTACACGTTTGCTTGTAAAGACCTTCAGCCCACGTTGGCCCAGGCAGGGTCCTAAAGTATCTAAACTGTTTCAGTTGCTTGTGTAAAATTTCAACATTTCCATTTCCTGTCCCCACCTGCCACCTTGGCGGTCAAGGTGCTGGAACCACCAAGAAGGAAGGGACCGGGGGTCGTGAGGTCAAGATGAAGTCCACCAAGAAGAAAGGTCGAGGTCGGGACATTGACGACGGGTCGGATGAGGACATGGCTGCACCTGCTCAAGGCAGCAAAGGAAAGCAGCAGGAGTTACAGTTCCTGAGTGTAGCAGAAATTACCAAGGTGACAGTTGAATGTGATAAGATTCTTGTCATTTTTTTGTGCCAGATCTGGAGCAGAGATCGCAGTTCATCATTCATTTCTCTGTTCTCATGCTCAAAAAATGGAGAAAAAAATCTACATTGTTGTAGTCTGATGATGTAGTAGAATGATGATTTTTCTTTTCTTTAAATGTAAGTGTTTTTGTGCCCTTATTTGCACAATTTAGATCATAAAGGAGGCGTGCTTTGACCCTGCCTGTCAGGGCAATGCAGGCTGAGAGGGATACAACATCCCCGGAGAAAGACTGAGATACTCAGTTGAAATTCTCCTCATTTGGGAACCAAACCGTTGTCTTCTGTGTGTGACGGCAAAGGACCTAATGGTTACATCACTGACACCGCAAATAAAGACAGAAGTGACTGTTCATAGAAGAGAAATGAATCTTTATAACTCTTATTGTAGGTCAATGAAGCTGCTCAGTTCAAATTTTCAACATTTGAAAGGAATAATTTAAGAAACGGCGACTCCTTACAACAGAACCGTTACTGAGTTCAAAATCATTTTGTTGGGTTATTTAAAACACAATTAATTTCTTTTTGTAGGGAAAGGTGTTGCAGAAATATAAAAGCTGCCTGAATGAAGTTCAGGTTTTTGTCTGTAGTAAAAAGAATTATGATGATAAAGAACATTTATATAGTGCCTATCCCTGCTCAACAGCAAGCTCAAAGCTCTTTACAATCTACATAATATTTCGTTACTTCAGCAGACCCTAGAAAACCCCAAACCATCCTCTACTTCCCAGGAAGCATACATAGTAATGATAAATAAAAATTGCAGACAGAAATGGCAGTAGACCGATAAGTGATTCACAATGTAGGCCGCTGTGCCAGTCACTACCACCACTCTGTATGGAACAATTTGTCCCCCATCATCAGGTTCTGAGGGAGCAGGAAAGACTGAAGGACTGTCCGGAGGAGTTGTTGACGGAGGTTGCCTCACGGTTACACAGGTCAGTTGCACTGTCGAAATTGTTCAAGACAACCTTCTTGTCTTGTTGTCGGGGAGATAAGTGGTTGACTTAGACATGTGGACGTCTTGGACAGTGTCATTGTGATGTTGTTTTTTTTAATGCAGGCGGGTAAGTGGGAAGTGGTAGTTTGGACAGGTGAATATTTTGGACAGGTGGCCGTTTGAGCAAATTTGACTGTGTATATCAATACTGTTGTATGAGAACATGCACAAGTTATTTATCATTGCTTGAAAACTGATTATGTTTGAGCTTTGAAAAAAAGTTTTAGGGGATTTGTAGTTAAGGAACACATTGTGCAATGCTGCATGTCTACTGTAATTTTACTTTGGAAACAAATGAAATATCCTGCAAAAATTGATCACAAATTCTGAACAAATGATTTATATAGACCCGAGTTTTTTATACTTAGGCGCTGATTTAGCTGGATTTTTAGTGGCAGGTGGAGGGGGGTATGGCAACTGTTCTCAGTGATGTCATATCTTGTTCACTTTCACCTGACCACCTTTTCAAAAATCTAGCTCATTAATGCCCACGAAACTTTGCATACCACTTCTGCAGGCCGGCGACTAAACAAAAAATTTTTTTTTTTTAATCTTGATCCAGTAATAAAAAAGTTTTTCTCTTTAGGCCGTATATTAAAAATCGCTCTTTGAATGCATGCACAGGACCACTAGAATAAATAACTTACAGTAACCTTGCTAACAAAATACTCATTTGAGACAAGGACACTACCATGCCTCCTCATTTCTGTCGTTTCTATCAAAAGAAAACGTGTCGAAACTTCGTTAACAGTGACTTTCATGAATGGGCTTTTAGATTCTGCTGGTCATCCAACTTTTAGACCCGTATGCAAAGTTCTGAGAAGATTAAACAGAGCGATTTCATTTTATCTTGTTTTAACAACGGTCGAACGAAAGTGAACAAGCTATAGTTTACTCTGTTTATGAGTGATTTTGTCTGTCAGGCCTATTTATTGAGCCAGTCATGGCTGATCTATTCACTGCAAACTTTTGTGTACCGACAACTTACAAACATTTTTGTCAAACTGCTCAAGTTTAATGAGACTTAGTTTTTTCACATCCATTGTGTTCATTCAATGTTGCCTGGCAACCTGTTTGTCTTATTGGTACTTCTTTGTCCTTCCTTCCATCTGTCTCACTAATGTGTTTTTGTTTGTCATTCTTTCCATCTGTCAGTCAATCTTATTGACATTTCTTTGTCTTTCCTTCAATCTGTCTGTCTTATTGATATTTCTTTATCTTTCCTTTCATCTTGTCTGTCAGTCTTAATGACATTTCTTTGTCTTTCCTTCCATCCATTTGACTAACTGATATTTCTTTATCTTTCCATCCAGACCTCTCCAGAAACAGTACCAGGAAGTTGCTAAATCCATCTTTTTGAAGACGTCTGGAGCGGAGAAGAAGAAAACAGCTGGAGAAATACAAGACAAGGTCAACGGCCTGTGGACCAATGCCAGGCTATTTGAGAAAGGACTCAAATTGTTTGAAGGTAGGAAATTGGCATCTCACAGTCTGATATGTGGTGAAATAAGACAGATTACAGCAGGGTATGATTGATTTATTGTTTATGAGTATTCCAAATTTAACACAGCTGTTTGGAAAGGATTGTTCCAATATTTACGAGAAATATTTTGTTTTAATCGGGCAGTGCTCCAGTATGTGAACATTGTTTCACAAGTACAGTTGTCTGTGGCGTAGTGTTTAGGCACTTTCCGTAGCACGCAGAACACTAAAGTATCTCAGTCTTTCTGCAGGGATATCTCCCTCTCAACCCAGGTGGACCATGACAGGCAAGGTTGAAGCCCACCTTTTGCATGCTCTTAATTTTGTCAAAGGGAATATTAAAAACTAGAGGAAAAAAAATGTCTCACAAGTGTTGGACTTACGTCCTGCCACCCCCACCACCCCTGTAAGATCTTGTTAAAGAGCGGAACTTACATTGTAGAGAGAGAGAAGAGATAAATGACTGGTATTAAAATGTTGTTGAGAGAAAACTATAATATAATGGCACATGAAAGGGTCAGGTTAGGTAGGGCTCTCTGAGATGGGTGGGAAGGAGGATAGCAATTGACGGGAAATTCCCATTGCCAGCCGGTTTTTAATTTACTGTTGTGCTGACAAGCCATCATCTCTCTTGGTTTTTTAACCACTGGCATTTATCTCGGTGTGAAGTCAACTTTTGTATTCTTTTATGAGAATGGACAGTAGATTAATTTTATGATCTGTTGTAGCCAGTTGCTTGTATAATCTCATTATTATGGGAACAGCTGTCATTGTTAGTGGCTGGTACCCTAAAGAAAATGTTTGATCCCTCAGAACCAGCACAAGGACAGCTGACCAAGCACTTGCTGAAGACTGTGGGTTCAGATCTGGCCAACACTGTGGTCGTTGCCCTGGCCAGCGACAGTTTGCTCAATGTGGCAAACAACGAAGAGGAGCAACTCACACCGGAGGTGATAACTCGCTACCTTAGAAATACAAAGTTCTATCTGACATTTCTAGCCTTTTTGAGTTACTAGTAGACCATGAGATCAAAAACCAAATGTTCTATGTGCTCTGTCAAAACAGTGAGATTATTCGGAGTCGTTATCAAGATATTCAAAGAATAGCATTTGAAAAAGCTTGACATGTTGTGAAACTCAAAATTATTAACGTCTAATTTCTCAGAACTAGGGATTTAGTAGGTAGAACTTTGTAATTCAAGGGTAGCGTACTGTCTGTAGATTTTGCTCATTGTCCTTAAATTGTTTGTGTCTTTCCTTGAGGGCTTGAGGGTTATGTTTTTCCTCAATTAAATCTTTGTCGGAATTCAGTGCTGTTTAGAGAGCTGTTCACTTCTTGAGTCCTGGTCCTTTGAGCCTCACAAGGAGTGTGCATCTGTTACACTTGTACTAAGACGCCCACTTTCTTCCAGGCTCCGAGAAAGGTGGGGAGGCGAGTTGTTACACTTTTACTGAGACACCTGCTTTTTCCCAACTTCGGGGG